TGCTTTTTCTTGGGTGATTCTCTTATTTCTTGGCGCAGCAAGAAACAATCTCTTACTGCTCGCTCCAGTACCGAGGCTGAATATCGTGCTCTTGCTGATACTACTCAGGAACTGCTCTGGCTTCGTTGGCTTCTTGCTGACATGGGTGTTTCCCCTTCTAGCGCTACTGCCCTCTTTTGTGACAATCAAAGTGCTCTTCAAATTGCTCACAATGATGTTTTTCATGATCGCACCAAACACATTGAGATTGACTGTCATTTTATTCGTCAACACGTCACTCATGGTACTGTCCATCTCCATCCCATCTCCTCTGCTGATCAACCTGCTGATATCTTTACCAAAGCCCATTCTCCTGGTCGCTTCGTTGAACTTGTCTCCAAACTCAAGTTGGTTGATGTTTGTCCTCCTTGAGTTTGAGGGGGGCTGTTAATATTATACTGTTAATATAATACTATATAATACTATATATATATCATTGTTAAATACTATATATGGTAGTGTGTATAGAAAGAATATATTAAATATAATATCGACAGAAGGCTTTCGGCTGCTTTCGGTCGCCTCCTCCTTTCGGCGTCCTTTTTCTTATTTTATTACATTCCATCATCATGATGTCTTATATCCGAGCTCCTATATTATGGAATCTCTAATTTTGTTTCAGACAGAGTGTTAATAATACAGAAACCTCTTTCAATATTACTCTCTCAACTCTCTCAATTTCTCTTTCATAAGAGACTCTTTTTTTGGGTTAGAGACTGTTTTTTTTTAACTTTTTTAGCAATAGAATAAATAAGGGACTCATGTGTGATTAGAGACTGTCTTTTATGGATTATCTTCCCTTGTAAAATAAAATGACCAACAGCAAAAATAATAAAAAAGAATGCAGGGAGAGAGAGTCCTAATAAATAAAGAAGAATAAAGGAATGTGTCCTTGAAAACAGTTCTCTTTTCGGTGAATTACTGATTAGTCACACTTTACTTGGGTATGGGCCATAATACCACCAAATACACCCACGAAAATAAAATAAAATAATTAATAAAATGTTAAATTTAAGTGCACACAAATCAATCATAAAAAAATCCATAACACTCATTCCACGTGTGAATGTTCTATTTATTTTTTAATTAATTTTTTTATGCACATAAAAAATAATGTTAAAATAATTACAATTTTTTTAATCAAATTTTATTTATTATCTAATGTGGCATACTTACAACTATTAATACAACAGATGTGATGTGAAAATGCATTGTCATTGATAAATGATTTATAAACATAAATTTTATAAAAAAAAATAAAAATAAATTAACATAATGGTATGATTATTTTTTTGAAACTTAATCAGCTTGTTTGGTTTTGGTTTGGTTTTCATAAAACACTTTTTAGAAAATTCTTTTATTTTTTGTGTTTTTTTGTTTCCAATAAATTTTTAAATATTTTAAGCAAGTTTTTAATTTGTAAACACACCTAACATAAATACACTTAAAAAACATAATATTTGTTAATTTTTTTAAAAAAAATTCACTAAATATCAAAAATACAAAAAAAATACCCAAATTTTGTACATTTTTTTTCATATTTTTGTGTATTTATTAATCTTTTAAAATATTTTTTCACAAATATTTTACTATTTAGATACATTTAAGTAAGGTGCATCTAAAAAAGTAAAAACACAAATATTTTACTATTTAGATACATTTAAGTAAGGTGCATCTAAAAAAGTAAAAAAATTGTTTAAAATTTTAAAAATATTCACTAAAAACAAAAAAACTTAATTGTTAGAAAGTTGAATTTAAAAAATGAAACCAAACACACTGAATAGGTTTTTTGATTTAAAATAAATCAACACAAACTTAATACATCACTGTGTATGTTTTTTTTTTTTTGTTTTTTTGTGTGGAGAAAACACCAATAAATTCCAAGTTAGGAACTTGTAAACTAATTAGTCATGTTTTTTATCTTTTAAACCCATAAGTCCCAATGTAATGTTAATGTACAGAATTTCAGCGCGCATCACCCAAATGGTAGGCGTGTATGGGGCATTTTGGTGATGTGGAAATTACGAATGTATCCCGACAACAAACTATAGAGGTTTTTGGTTTCCCTTACTGATCGAAACGGAAGGGATGAAGATGGAAGGTTCTGTGTATTTCAACGTTTGTGCCATTTGATTTTAGTAATGTTGGAGCCTTAATTTAACATTCAACTTTAACATCCATATTCATGTTGAACCATTGAAATAGGAGAAACCCATGATGTTAAATTGGAATTTGTGATTGTCGATTGATGTTGGATACTGCACAGTGATGTTGTTTCCATCCGAAATGGGTCTAGTTCAATTTCGTTTAGTGGCACTTAGGGGTGGAGGGTTTGTTCTGCTAGTATCCGATGCTATGTTATGTTGTTGTTGATGGTTAAGTTGTGTTGTTTTAGTGTTTCACATATGCCTCTGGTGTTCCAATTTTGTTTCGGGTGTGTTTGATGTGGATTAATTAGGAAATCAATATTGTTGAAAATGTAATATTGTTATTGTCAATATGATTGAAATACGATACAAATGTTAATGTGTTTAACTGGATTTGTCGTTGTGTTTGGTCCCCCCTTGGTTGAGTTTGTGTGATATTGGGTAGTGTGTGAAAATTGCATAGTGTGTCATATTGGGTGACATCTTACATCGAAAGAAAATAACGTGTGATGTTTGGAGTTATGTTTGAGGTTCGCTTTTCTTGAATTGTAATGAAAATAACGTGGCCCGTGGCGTATTATATTGCAGGGCAGATTGTGGGATTTTTATTTGTTACATAATCCATCAATACATACATGGCATCGAGGTTGAGAACACGATAGATGGGCTGTCGCCACCTATTTTACGCTCGGTGATGGTGAAAATGTTCCTGAACGACCCAAGCAAGGGACTGCGTGCAGGGATATTGTGAGTTCTTTGACAACACCCAATGTCACTAAACACAGTCTCCAATGTGACTAATTGATATATATATATATATATATATTTTGGCTTTGCAAATTGTGTTAGTGTTTATTTTTTTGGAGTGGTTGGTATTGTTTACGTCAACTTATTTATGGTTTAAATCAACGAATAATGTTTTGGTTTTATATGTTGTCGGGTTACTTTTTAATTTGTGAGCAAGTGACATTATAATACGATGGGATCATGGTCTAAATGTTGGTGTGTTTATTGTTTTCCCAATGTGCAATTCACATATATGAGTTTGGTACATTTATGTTCCGTGTGATAGAGATAATATGTGTTCGCTAACAATGTTTTGTACACTTGGGGTTAATGTTACGCCGTGTTACAACATTAAGTGTTGCAATGTAACTGTGTTACCATTTTTATTGTGTGATAGATGATGATGTTATAATTGGGCAGCCCACCTGGGTTCCAATCATAATATCACATACATATTCCAGTTCGCTTTAAAAATTTGACGTGTGCCTGATGAGTTGGTTGGCATTATGACCCAAACATTAAAGTAGAGAATGTTAAAAAATGGTGTCAATTTCACCATTCCACTTTACAAAGTTGACATATATCATGATGTTCCATGAACTAAGCCGTCGAACCACACACACGTCACGCGCAGGAAAACTGTGACAACTCTCACTTATGATTAGCGTAAATTCATGATTAAACATGATAAGTAAATGATTGAGATGAAATCTGTAACAACTCAAATTTTTAATTATTCTGTAGAATTTATACTAATATTATTTAATCTCAATATATAATTTATTATATATTATTATGCATAATTTATAAAATAATATAATTATTAAAAGTTTAGGAGTCAAAATATAAATAATAATAATAATAATGGACGTAATAATAAAATAAATAATTAATTTTCTGTTAGTATGTGATAATGTATAATTTAATTAAGAATTAATTAATTTATATAATTATATTAAAATATTGAGTCAAAAAATAATTATCTTAAATACCTATTATTGAAATCTCTCACGTAACGCCGTTTCCTCTACTGAATCTGCCACGTAGCGCATTTTCCCCCTATAAATACGGAGGCGCCTGGAGAGGAAACGGCAGGAAGAAAAGAAAAAGAAAAGGAAAAGAAAGAAAGAAGAAACAGAGAAGGAAAGGAGAGAAAGGAAAGAAAGAAAAGAGAGGAAAGGAAGAAAAGTATAGTGGAAGATGAAAGGGTCTTTGATGATGGAAAGAAAGAGTAAGGTATTAAAGTTAAGACGAGTTATATTATACCTTGAGTCACCAAAATGTATTTTACTTATGTTTTGACTTACCAAAATCTACTTTATAAAAGTTATGTTTTATTTATATATTTAATAAAAGTTATGTTTTATAAAGATTTCAGTTACGTGGTTTTATTTCTGAACCCTATTCGCTTAAAAGGAAACCCATGGATGTGTGTGTTTTGCTTTTAAAGAATATTTGGCTATGACCTTATATGAAAATATGTTTTGTAAGTACCACCACGGGAGTCCCATGCCTTGGGGGACTTAAATAACCATTGGCTTAGTGAGTCCCATGCCTTGGGGGACTGAAATAACCATTGGCTTAGTGAGTCCTATGCCCTGGGGACTTAAATAACCATGGGCTTAGTGATTGACCACTTTGTGGTCCAGTGTTTGTCGTGGATCCATTGACCAGTGTAGTGCTTGGCACTTAGTGATGTACCGTGGTTATGGTTGTATAGTGATTTCCGTATTACATGTTAAATGATCTGAAGTATATATCAAATGATTTTCGTGTTATATGTATCAAGCTTTTTTTAGCCTAACTAATTATCCATGGTGAATTTTATGCCTTATACTCTTAGTATAATATTTCTCACTCTGCCATGAGCTTATAGTTTTTTACCACTTTCAGGTGGCATGTCGGGACCAGCGTGTGGAGTAGGCACGAAGCACTTTTATTGATGTATTTTTTTTATGTAAAAATCGGCCTTTTTGGTCAATACCTTTTGTAATAAAAATAGAAACTCCAATGATTATTTTAGTACCCTTATTTAAATATTTCTTCCGCTTGCGTTTATTAAATTGTTTAAAGATTTGGCCGGAGGTAACCACGGTTACTGGCCATCACGATGCCTAACCCTTGGGTACGGGGAGCGGGTCGTGACAAAATCCAAAATTGATTGCATAAGTGTGTTATTTTAGTTGCATGCTTATCTGTTTGATATAAGAAGATCTATTCATGTTTTGAGTTCAAATTGCGAATTGAAAGCCCTATCGGCAACCGATTCAGAAATTGACTTGTGTTATGTGCTAATTAGGATTTATATAATTTTACGGTAGGTTTAATTGAAATTCGATTTGGAATGATTAAATTAGAATAAATAATGCTAAATTAATTGAATGTAAGTTATCTACACATTTGCCATTGAGTGGGCCACCTTCAAAACCATTGTTTTGGCCTAATTTACATATGTTTGACACATCATTCTTCATCCACCTCCTTGCAAAAACGTAAGAGAGAGGAGAGTAGGAGAAACTTTTATTCAACTAGGTGGTTAGCTTGGAATTAGAAGGAATTGAAGAACTTTGAAGAATTATTCACTTGCTCAAGAACTTTGCTTAAGAGAAGCTTGATTGAGGAGCCTTGGTAAGAGCTCAACCTTTTAATCTAGAAATGGAGTCATCTAGGACTTGTATATGAATGAAATAGGTGAATTCATGGGACAATTGAGCTAGAATTCTAAGGAGCTAAATCAATTCATGCATGCATGTCCATACCATGGAGTTTTGAAGTTTATTTTTATGAAATTCACACATGTATGTTCTTATCATAGTTAAAATCCAAGAATTCACCATGTTTTTGAGTTGAATCTTGCATTTGATCATGCTTTGAGGTAATGGAGTTCTAAAGAACTAATGCATGTTATGTTTTTGCATTGTTCATAAAACTTACATTGAAATTGTGTTCAATTGTCACACTTTTGGGCTTTGATTTTATGAAATGACCTTCAAAACATGTTGTGTTATGAGTTTCTAAGTGTTTTCCAGAATTTTTGGCCCAAAAGGATGAGTTTTGGCATGTTTGATTCATGGTTTGATGTTTGGAAGCAAATCTGGAAAACCCAGAATTTGGCTTCCTCGCTCGAGCGAAGGATTCCACGCTCGAGTGACCACCTTTGTTTTCAGACTTTTGCTCGAGCGATGGAACGCTGGCTCGAGCGTAAATTGCAAGCACTCAAGTTTTTACGTGGGCAGACGCACGCTCGAGCGACGAGACCTATGCTCGAGCGAAGAACAGTGTCTCACGCTCGAGCGAGCATCGGGCGGAGATTTTCAGCAACCAGTACTTTTCACATTTTTGCAGATCGCTCGAGCGAGGGAGTTTACGCTCGAGTGACCTCTCTCATTCGGTAAGCTCACTCGAGCGAAGGAGTCTACGCTCAAGCAAGACCCCTGTTTTCAGCAAGTTTTGAAAAATGTTTTCAAGTATATTTTGTATCCTCATTCCATCCTAGGCATTCCTAGGCTATGTTTAAGGCATTATAATAAGGATAATGATATAGAACCACACCAAAACAAGAAAAGGGATTAAGTTATTATATCCGGGCGTGTAATTTAGTGTGTAGTCGTTTTGCAACTGTGTAGGTTTGGCACCCAAGGACGCTGATTAGCCTGCCTATAGCCCAGTAATCTGTGAGTAACGATGTTGTAAAGCCTTGTTCAATTGTAATTACCTTCTGAATGATTAACTGTACTATTTTCTAAAATGATATTGTTTGCTGAATGGATGTTTGTCCTATTTTATGAACTGTACTCGTGGCATCCATAGCAACTGACTGTTACTGTTACTATTACAGAGATCTCTGTCAGTTCCTATCATTAGAACTACTGTTACTATATTGATGGCCATTAACTGACTGTTCGGTTTATTAAGACCTACTGTACTGTTCTGCTATTGGATATACCACGTATGACTGCTATGATTCCTAAATGACTGATATGACTTGAAATATGAGTCACTGATTGAATAACTGATTTACTGATGCAAATGACTATTTTAATTACTAAAAGGACATTCATTCTTAACCCCTTTACACATTTATTATTCACTGGGCTTTAGCTCACTGTTTATATATATGTATGTAGATGGCCAGGCACCGGACCAAAGCTAGAAGCGTCGAATTAAGCTCATGTTTTGTCAAGCCAACCTTCGTGCCTCCCTTCGAGGTTTCGTGTCTGCTCGAGCCAAGGCTTTTGGGGTGCTTTAGATTCACCATTTTTGTCTTTGTTATGTAATGAATGTTTAAGACTTGATTGTACAGTTATGGTGAAGTATTAGGTCCCTAATCTATAAGCTACTGTGTATAACCGTTTTGATATGTAAATAGATGTATATGGCTATGAATGTGGTTGTCGATAAAAGTTTTTCCCATTCAGGTTTTCACAGCTCATTGGACACCTTTCTATTACTGATTGGCTTCCGCCAGCCCTTTTATATTGTATTACTGTTATTACTGTTAATCAGGCCTTCGGTAATCACGGATTACTGGCCAGTTACGATATTAAACCCTTAGGGGCGGGTTTGGGTCGTGACAAAAACCATGTTGTATGTCCTGTGCATAGCACTGCTAAGATGATTAACACACTGACGTCCCAAAGACATTGAGCATTTGTTTAAAACCCAACGTCCTGTACCAGTTGTTCGGCAATGTGCGCCCCATAAACTGATCAAAAAACAAATTGACAGAATCTAAGAATGATATATGTTCACAACAAAAAAAGAAAAAAGAAAAAAGAAACTAAGAATGAAATGAGTGCGAGGATGGCTGTGACGTACTGTGTGGATCACAGCTGAAAGAATATGTAATTCCGGAGTTTCACGTTGTGCGTTATGTTTGTCTACCTTGAATGTCTTGTGTGTTATGTTTGTCTACGTTGAATGTCGTGAGTGAGTGCATCCTGTGTTACAATGATTTTGTTACCATTTGTTAATGCTAATGTTATGGACTTTTTGCCCATGAAAAACATGCATAATGTTGACATTATGAAACAGATATCCGCACATTGCGCCAATGTGCAATGCCAAATGACACATCATGGAACATAGCTTACAGATGTGGTTGCATTATGCGGATGGTTTTGTCATTGCTAAAAATAAAATGTTTTGAACACAATAAGCATAAAACACACATTCTGACGGTCCGATACAAATGTCAATGTCCAATTGCGATCAACAACCTCTGACAACTGACGAAGAAACCACTCCCAGTTTGATGCTGCGTCGACAATAGCAAACGCTACGGAAAAAAACCCTGTGTTCGCGTAATAGAACAAAACACAACAAACACACCCCTATAGGCCAACGTTAGGCCACAAAACAAAAGATTAAACACAAATATACATAAGAAAATAAATAAATAAGCATACCAGTTGATACAACATGAAACCAACACAACAGCCCCAACAAATCCCCCACTGTCAGGCGACCAAAAAAAGATTAACCAAAAAAAGTTAAAAACAGAGCACTAAGAGCCCCAGTACCCACACCACCAAAGACATCTACGGAAACATCAAAACAAATCCATTTCCAAAAACAAAACAACCCAATACACATATCACTCCGCCCACACACTCACCTTGTGAAAGAAAAGATCATACCATCGCCAATAACGGGAACCCACAACACCACGATAGAGTTCCCAAAGTAACAAAATCAAATCCCACAACTAATACTCCACATCAACAAATTAACCAATTCCACTGCAAATCACTGAATCGTATATATATATATATATATATAAATCAGGCAATGTAAAAATACGTTACCCAACCAAATAACAACCACATCAGCACCAGAAATGTGTGAATCCCATAATAAAAGGGGATAAATATGTAAACTCTACCAATATCAAATCAAATAAAAAGATTCCTCCCCAACTAAATAGAACCAAATGGTTCATAAGAAAAAAACATAGGGCCAAATGAAATAACATTCCCTGATTTGGGATTTATTGGTAATTTTTCCTTTTTTTTTTTTTTTTTGGTTTTGTTTGTATATAAAATTTACCTATAAATCCTATTTTGAGGAATGATAATCCATTTAGTTCCAAGGATTTTATTATAGACGAATTAGTTCCATTGATTTTGGAAAGGTAAATTTAATATATTATTTAGAAATTAAATTTACAGTTATACTCTTATTATGTTTCCTTCTCTCTCTCTCTCTCTCTCTCTTTCTTTTTTCTAGAAAGGTAATGTACACAATATATGATAATCCAATTTGGGATGAATTTTTATATGAGAATCTTTTTTATTTAGAAAACATTTCAAAAGGAGTACAAAAATAACTTGAAATATGGGATCCTTCAAACATTCAAAAAGGATGTGAGATTCTTCAAACATTTCAAAAGTATTACAAAAATCCCTTAGTAAACTTTGGGCAAATATATAATTTCAAACTGTATCACTCCCACATAACACTCAAATGTAACACTCCAATATAACACAAAAAAAAAAAAAAAAAATCTTAGTGTACTTTTTCCAAACGTAACACTTGAAAAAAAATTCTTAGTGTAACATTCCAATGTAACACATAAAAAACCTCTTGGAGTACTTTTTCTAAGTGTAACACTCCAATGTAGCACTCCCAAAAAAGTATATGTGATTCTTCAAACCATTCCAAAAGGATGTGAAAAAATTCCTTAGTAAGTTTTGAACAAATGTATAATTTCAAATTGTGAGTGTCACATTTAGAAAAATTATATTAAGGAATTCTTTAGTATTTTTGTGTGTGTTACATTAGAGTGTTACGTTTGGGGCTACATTGATTGAAGTGTTGCATTTGGAAAAAGTACACTAATGAATTTTTTTTGTGTGTTACATTAGAGTGTTACGTTTGGAAAAAGTCCACTAATGTGTTTTTTTTAGAGTGTTACGTTGTTATGTTTAGAAAAAGTGCACAAAAGAGTTTTTTAGTGTTTTACATTTGATGTTACGTTAGTATTACATTAGAGTGTTATGTTATTAGAGTGTTACATTGTTTTTTTCATAATGTGAGATTTGTTCAAGGAGGGAAAATCCAAAACCTCTATAATGTGAATTGCCCAAATATGTAATTTTATATTTAGAGAAATTCACTTTTATCCTTAGAAAATTAAACCCAAACATGTTAAGTGACTACTCTTTTGTGTAATTTTTACTTTAATAGGACTTTTGAGTTTATAAAAAAAAAGAAAAAAAAAGAAAGAACTAAACAATTATAAGATCACATTTTAAGATTTATACATTGTTTAGGATATTCTAAATAAGTGCACTTTTTGACTTTTTATGAAATATGGGTTGGGTTTGACGTGATGTGGTAGAGAGGTGATATGACTTAAATAAGATGATGTCACTTAAATAGGGTAGTGACTTTTTGACTTTTTTAAGGAATGCCAAACCTAGCCTTAAATTAACAAATAATCACCTAGCGAATCTAAAACTGGACTTTCTGGTGCAAGAGCCAAGACAGTCCTCTCTGTACACATATATGAATTATAAAAATGTTTAAGATCTGTAATTTTTGAGCTCTAATGCAATTCTAATGATGTGAAGAGTACTCAGGTGAAGGTAAGACCCACACTCTTCTCTCTCTTTTACCTCACTGAAGCTCTATTTAAAACTCTCAAATTAAAAGTATGGATCATGAGAGGGTAATTTATATCTAAATTGGGCCGAGCTGGGTAATGGGCCGTTGTGGGCCATAGTAAGAAGGGTTGAGTAAAAAAGGCCTTGAAGTTAGCCCGGTCCGAGACAACCTTGAAGTTAGTCCGGTCCAAGAGAGCTTTGCAGTTAGCTCGGTCACCATACTCAGCGTTAGCTCGGTCATAGCATACTGTGGTTAGCTCTGTTGGAACCTTGCTATTTAGTAGCTTGGTCTAAGCACGCCATGGGTTGTACAGGAGAAACCGAGGTAAGAGCAGTGAAAGGAAGAACTGAACTAGATAGTTCGGTCTACTCTACGGCTTAGCATAGCCATGCTTACCTTGGTCATATTGGAATCCGACCATGGTAAAACCATCTCACTTGGTTCAAGCAGTGAGAGGGGCGGTGAAGGATAAGCATTATCTTTTAGGAATATGATTCCAAGGAGGACTCTACATGGAGGAGTAAGAGTCCTACTAGGATTGTGCCACGCGGAACCTATAAAAGATCATAGCATCACCTATGGAGAGAAAATACAACTTTGATTCTCGAATACATGGAGCTTTTATCTATTTGTCTATTTTGCTAACTTAGACATCGGAGGGGTATCCGGCACACACCCGCCGGCTAGCTCACGTTTGTGTTTTCAGGGAGTAAAGTAACGACGTTTGGAGGAGCGCAGACTTGATCAACAGGATTATACGAGAAGGTTTATTTCTTTCCCGTACAATTGGCGCCGTCTGTGGGAATATCAGACAAAGAACAAAACCTCTTGATCAAGTTTCCCTCGCTAGTTGAATGGCGCACAACGAAGATTTACCGCAGTCCGCCATCGATTGACAAACCCCAGAGGGGGGTGGGAGGCGCGAAGGATTGCCCTCTATCCCTCCCATGGCGGACTTAGAGCCCCAGCGACAGAATCCCCGGAGGGATGCAAGGGGGAGGTGGAACAACAGCCCCCGTCGTTCTTGCTCATAATGCCCTGAAAGGCAAAGGCGAAGAATTGACCCTCAAGCTTTGGAGGATCGCGTAAATGAGCAAAATGAACTAATAAGGAAGATGGCGGCGAACATGGAGGCCATGAAGCGTCAGATTAAGGGAAAATGGGTGGCAACAGGAGAGGGGCGCAAAGGCAATACGCCTCATCGCCACGCAGAAGATCGTGGTAGACATAACACGCCATCGCAAGCAGAGAGTAGGAGCCTCAGGACAGGCGACACTCAATCAAGGACTTCTAGAACTCGTTACTCCAGATCTGAGAGAACGAGATCATTGAGGTCTTATACCGAGGGAAGCACCTATCGGCTCTCACATACACACCAGACATCATCCAGGCAAACAGAGTTGCCTAGATCTCCGACTTACGGACTATGCTTGAAGAAAGGGCACGACGGAAGGAGGATTCCAGGGTACGCGACTCGCATAGAGTTTCAGCCCTTCAGCGGTTGGCTCCTCGAACGCATGGAGGCGTCGAGGTTGGAATGTCAATACCGCATCTTGCCTACGAACCAACAAATAAAGCATTGGCAAGACTACATAGCTCGCCGTTCGTTCCGGCGATAGAGAATGCACCATTACCCTCAGGCTTCATCCAGCCTAAATTTACCACGTACGAAGGGAAGACAGGCCCTTACATGCACTCAAGCCATTTTTGCCAGGTCATGGCAGTATACTGGCGGAACGAAGCTTTGATGTGCATCCTATTCCAATCCAGCTTTGGCGAACTAGGTTTAACCTGGTTCGAAAGGCTACCAGAAGGCAGC